CTGTGAGTTAAAATAGATATAAAAAAACAAATAAATGAAAACAAAGCAAATGTTCATATAATAATTAAAAAAATTAGCATTACGAAGGCATGAGGTTGTATTGAAACCCAAAAAATTGCTGAACAGGTGGAGGAAGATTTCCAAAAAACGAAGTTAATGTGAATAACAAAGGATAACACGTTGGTGAAAATAAAAGTACAAAAGTACCACTATGCAATTACAAAAGTACAGCGAATAAGACGAAAACAACCAGTGTTAACTTCATGCGTTATATAACATGTGCATGTACATTGATTAATTTTAAATACGTTTAATATGAGGACACAGATGAGGAGTGAAATAACATTGGGGACGTGTTGTGTAAACTCACACTGTGTCTTCCTAATCAGTTCGGGATAGTGTAACTCACTCTGCCCATAAAGGAACACCTGATCTCTCAATAGCTTGTAATTCAGGTTATTTGTTGAAGTCAATATTGTGGAGTTAAGAATCGGAATTCACCAACCACATAGTGTGAGCGGAAACCAGTGTTGCACTGCTCAGTCAGCATACTGTCACATATGGTTGTAATCACTACTGACTGGATTGGCGTGTCCTTCTCAAACTCAGACGTCACCTCCTGCAGTCGAGAATAAAACTCTCTGTCTTCTTTCGTATTCACTCTCTCGTCCATTTTATTAGTGGACAATCACGACAATCACAAATAGATGCAATCATCACAAAGACTTTGAGGATGGCGCTGGTTTTGTGGAGCAGATCGTGTGAGAAAGATATGAAACCTTATAGGTAATCTTTGAGCGAAATAAAAACGGTTGCAGAGAGCAGAGTGAAACAGCTGTAAGTCAAGGGAATAATAATGTTTCCGTGTGAATACAACTGGTTAATCAGTGAGCATTAGCATACATTGGAAGATCTGTTCGAAAATAATGGTAGTTTGGGTGATGTACACACTCTGTTGACAAATGGTCTTACAAACTATAAATAGGTAAATGAACTCTAACTTTAGTGTGCCGCTGGTTCATCAGCAGAATGCTGATCAACTACGCATATGGTCAGATATTCGATCTTCGTTGGACGTACTCCTAAACCCTGCTAAGCTTGGTAAAGGGAGACATTTGAGCGTGTGGCTAGCAACCCTATACCGTGAAAATAAATTCACTGTCACCGAAATTTGAGAGGTTCAGCTTGAAGCTCTATATTCCACTCGGAACGCGAAGGAATAAAGTAACTTCAGAGGAAGCTTTATCGTGTGAGAACTCAATTACAACAGAAACTAAGAGGCACAAGGACAATTGTTTCATTTATTAATTCTGAGCAATTTCACAAACTTGATTCAAATATGTACGCAAAACAAAGGTTACTCAACATGAATATATATATATATATATATATATATGATAGGAAAAAGATTAGTATTTGCATATTTTCCTTTCATTTATACAGTTTTCGATTAAACAGCTTCAAGATAATCACGAATCTTATTTCAGCGAAGGTGGGATAAAACTATATTTGATTTCACAATGTATTTATTTTAGGTGCTTTGTTCTCGTATATATTTGAATATTCTACCAGAACTATAATGATATTTTGGCGTGTGCTACTGATAAAATTTATCAGTAGTATAGAAAGAGACATTCATTGGCATAAAAAATATCAAACATCAGAGAGATAGATTCGACGTTAAAGAGAGTAAATGATACAGGAGTACTGGACAGCTGTTTCGTCCTAGTTTGGGACTTATCGGTAGTACAACCTCCCCCTGCCTGGAGTTCGAACTCAGGACCTTACGGCTGCAAGTCGAAATTGTAAACCCGTTCAGCCACTGGGATCCGACTCAATGGTGGTGATTTTAGAATTTTATTTTTCAGAACTCATGGACCATTGAGTCGGGTCCTAGTGACTGAATAAGTCTACAAATTTGAATAGTAGCCTAAAGTTCCTCGGTTTGAACTCTGTTTGTGATTATATGGCGTAATACTGAAGAGTTTCAAGCAGTAGGGCAAAACAGCTGTCCAGTACTGTCTGATTCTCCCGCTTTTCGCTTTCTAGTCACTCGTTTAACAATGGTAAGTAGTGTTATTCAGGAAGCATATTTATTCGGATTAACAATTCGCAAGTTAGTTAGCCATTTGCAATTTACACAGTTCGACACGGCAGTTCAACCACCTTTGCAATCCAAATTGTTCAGATCACAGTTTGTATGCTGCTTGATATACCATGAAGGCTTATCAAGAAGGTAAGAATACTTACAAACAAGCTACGTACTACTGATTGGTTAAGATGATTATTCTTATACTACTCATCTCATCAATCAGTGGTATGTTGTCTGGAGCATGTTTATTCCTAATGAAGACTTATTAGGGTGATATATATATATATATATATATATATATATATATACTTCAGCTGATGATGACGTTTCTACTAAAACTTAGGACCAACATACATCCTTTACTCAACGACTATCAGCGTTTGGATTGGTGGATTTCAAACTTAAGTCTCGTTGAGAACATCATTAGCTACTTGAATTCAAGTATGGTAGCGTGAGAGTATCCTGATGAAATGAAATAAGAGTCACTGACTGCAGTTTTAAGCATCATCAAATAAATGACATTTCATACTGACTTGCTAATTATTGCTTCCATCCAACAAACATATATATATATATATATTATTAGTATTCCCTTGAGTTCCAAGTGGAACGTAAGGCTTCAACAACACATCTCCACTTTGTCCTGTCTTCTGCTTTCCCCTTCAACTCGGACCACAATTGTCCACAATCTCTCATCTCTGCGTCACACGATCTCCTTCATGCCATCGTCGCACCGATGACCAACTCTTCGCTTCTCATTCAGATTCCACCCGAGCTGTAGCCTGGCGCGATATCATTCGACGGTCTCCTTAATGTATACCTGATCCATCTGCATTTTTTCCTACATATTTGTTGAGCGATTGCACCTCGGTTGATTCGTTGACAGAGTTTCTTGTTACTAATGCTTTCTGGCCATTTGATCTTCAGTACGGAGCCAGCGAAGGCAACTGTTGATAAAAGTCTGCAACCTGTTGACACTTAGTGCAAGTTTCTGACCCATATAGAAGCATCGACTTGACATTAGTGTTGAAAATGCGAATCTAATTCCTTATACTGAACCAGTGCAAAGGATTTCCAAACTGGTTTCAGCTTGATGAAGGCGCGTTTTAACATTCCGATTCTGACTTTGATATCTTCATCCATTTCATCTAAGGTTGAAACGATGCTTCCTAGCCAGATAAGTGAAAGTGATAACCTCTATTAAATCTATCCCGTTGATGGTGATTGGTGCTGGTTGCTCTTGTTGCTGTTGAGGTTGGTTGGTTATCTTCATCACCTCCGTTTTCTCTATGTTCACTTGGATCCCTGTCTTCGCTGCTCCAGCCAGTTTGTTGGCTTTTGCAATGTATATATATATATATATATATATTATTGTTATCTATGATAACGGCATTTGTCTAGTTATCCAAGTAAAAATTGAAAGCAAAATGTGCCTACCTTTCAACAGCTGTACGACAACGGAACGTGTCAAGTCATCCACAATGGAAAATTCAGCGAGGCGTTCGGAGTAAACACAGAAGTCAGACAAAGGTGCTGGCTTATTATCACCAATGATATTCCTAATTGTGGTGGACAGACTTGATTATGCGTCAGACAGTGAGTGGGAAACGAGGAGACAGGGATATCCTGGACCAACGTGAAGAACCTAGAAGACCTGGATTTCGCGCGTGGATGATTTATGTTTGATGTCACACAAAATTGAAGACTCACAAGCAAAAACCGACAAACTGGCCGAAGAAGCAGCCGGCGAAGACAGGACTCCAGGCGAACATAGAGAAGACGGAGGTTATGAAAATAACCAACCAACCAACTAGAACAACAACAGCAGGAACATCCAGCGCCAATCGCCGTCAACGGGAGGGATTTGAAAGAGGTTACTTCATTCACTTATCTAGGGAGCATTGTCTCAACTACAGGAAGTCGGAACGGACGACTATGTCAAATCGAGTGAGAATCGGGAAGGCAGGCGAGAAACACATTCGTCATCCTGAAACCAATCTGGAAATCTTCATCACTCAGCCAGCATCAACAACAAAATTCGCTCGGATTTTCAATACAGACGTCAAGTGAGTCAGTTCTTCTATACGGATCGGATGAGAAACTTGGTGGGGGGCGGGTCACAAATAATATTTCCAACAGCCTGTTGCAGACCTTTATCGAGAAGTAACTATCTTCGCTGGCTCTATACTGAAGATGAGATGGCCGGACCGGAAAGAATCACCGACAAGAAACTATGGCTTGGAGCAAACAAAACAAGAACCAATCGCCAACCAACAAATATGCACGAGGAAGTTGAGATGGATTGGACACTCGTGGCTGAGGAGGCCGGTTGGTGACATGGCGCGCGCGTCAGGCCATTGCTCGAGTGGAACCCGAAAGGGAAGCGGCGAGTGGGGCGTCAGTGCAAGGGTGACATAGGAGAGATTGATATGTATCCATATAATAGGTGTGTTTATTTTTAACAGTCTATTATATTTTGCTATGTGTATATGGATCGATATTCCATTATAATTAACAATCATGTTAAGACTGTCTATTGATTCGTTCATTTTTGAACATTCGCTGATACACTTGTGTTCACACACTTGTTCGGACATTCATACTATTTCACTCACACACTTGTGTGACATTGATTTTCCTTGTTTGAAAAATACAAGTATCATCGTAAACCTAGTGGTCTTCTGATTTCCGCTTTCTTGCGTCAGAATTATTAAATTCTCGACCAGAACATACAGAGATCGTATGAAGAGGAGTTGAAAGAGTATGGACTAACATGGATGGAGTTAAAAAGTAGAGCAGAAGGAAGACAGAAGTGGCAAGTTGAGACGTGCAGTTGAAGCCCTATGTTCCACTAGGAACCCAAGGGAACGATAATAATAATTTGAACTGCATAAATGATTTGTAGAGTTTACAGAAATCTGTATCTTAACAATTGAGTATTATTCACATTTCGGCATAAATTTCTCCAGTTACATAAAGGTAATATATTTTTGACGCTTATGTGAAACAATTCGAAAAATTAAGCCATTAATATCACATACTTTTCTTATTGGAATAGTAAAACAATATTTATTGAACATTGAATTTACATTAAAATTAGTCTGATGACTACTAATCTCAAAAATAAAAATAACGAGCAAATTAAAAAAGGTATCCAGATGAAAATACTCAAAGTGTGAAAATTAACAATGAATAATAATTAAATAATCTAACAAAAAAAAGAACTTATCTATACATAGATTCTCATAATTATTGCAATTTAGTTAAGAATATTTTGTCTCTTGTATGTTGGAATATTCATACGTGATAATTTAACACAGCCTATTTCATCATCATTAATTAAATAATTCCTTTCTTGAATAAATCCATATTTCTTTTTTATGCCTAATTTCCATCGATGTATACGATGTTTTAAGGCATAATTACACGCTATTTGATGAGAATTTCTTCCCTGCGGATAAATAAAATATCCTTTACATTGTGGATTAGCGATACAAGGCCAGTGCATCGTTTCACTTATTTTTCTTACCTATAATCTTTATAGTTTCATTTATAAGCTTTTTTTAAAAACAGTAGAACAGTGTAGTTGAATTATGAGTAATTGGTTAATTTCAGTTTGAAAGTCACTTTTAAATGCACTAAAAAAACAAAATTAAAAGAAAGGAACTATTATTATTATTGGTCAGTTTTACTAATGAACTATTTAAGACTAAAGTGTGCATCTAAGTATTTGAATATCATATGAGAATAGAATTATTAAACATTTTCTGAAGTACAAAATTCGCTAATGTGTATGTACTATATATATTGAAAATTGATAATTGAGCATCATTTGTTTTGTTTTAATCGTATTGTTATAACACGTGAAGGTTTAAAAAAATATATGGATCAAGGATGTATAGATAAAATTATGTGTAAATTCCCACTGCTAACGAATTGAGCAAGGGAAATAATAATAATAATCTCCGTATTATCTTGAGACAGCATTGCCGTCTTCAGGTAGGACATTTCAACTTTCGAATTCTGTACCAAATAGAGCAACAAGCCTAACACACCTCTGCAACTCTTGCATATCAGGATTTGAATGTACGTTTATTATACAGATCAAACGCTAGAATGACAAGAAACAAATCAGTGTCACCTTTTTACAAGCATCAGTATTGTATACAACATTTGACATTTTCAGTCTTATTACTACTTCAAGTTTATTGTCTAAATATACTTTCTGCTAGCTCGTATGTGTGTGTGTGCCTTCTACATTAATCAACCGGATCAACGCTATTTGGATAGATTATTCCGTTAGAACAAGGGAAGATCGTGAAACTTCTCTAGGGTTTTTCGGAATATACACTTACATATTGACAAAGAGCATTTTGAAAGAAGGAAGTGTGAAACTCCCCTGTTTGCTTAGATAAAGTCATTATAGTAGGTCATTTCAATGCTCAAGTAAGGAAGTTGAACAAAACTGAGAAATATATTGGGGATGACTCATGGACGTCAATGCTGATGAGCCGACAACAGTGGTTATCTATTATAATTTTGTTTGAATAAGTATTTGTTTGTAATATGCGTAAACTTCAAATATTAGGGGATAAAAGTCTCAACCAGTTGTTAGTTATTGGTGGCAGATAACTGTTCCTGATGAAACACCTGCATGGGCTCTAACCATATATTAGTCTATGTGCATGAATCATCAACTTGAAGACGATAAGTTTTTCTTTATGAATGCCTCCATCATCAAAATTTATCAACCAGTGACAAATCTCCCAGTGAGATGGAATTTATTCGAACAGAAAGGAAAATAAATGGTAAAGTGAATAATAATAATAATAATACACACACACTATTGGATTCAAAATGAAATGTTCAAAGAACTCCCAGTCAAGAATACCTGTCAGCTCTAAATGTCAAGATCGCAATATTATGTAGACGCCACAAGAAACAAAGATGAACTGTCCTCAGAGAAAAGTTTCGAAAGACTACAAAACACACATATATTGATTTTTGTTTAAAAATGAACTGTGTGCAAGTATGTTGAAATTGTTTTTGTGGATATATTTAATAATGACTTTGGTCTGTAAGCAGCTGATGAGAAGCCAACGAAGTCAATGATGGTACCACTGTATTCTGCAAAAATCTGTTGTTCTTGCTTTAGTCAAGGTTTTAAAAGTTTTTTCGTTCGATGATGGGAGAGCAACAAGAATTTCAGCTAAATTTGAGTGTATAGGGAATAATTGCATAGACAACTGGAAACACTGATGGACGAAGTCCTGAATGTTGACATCAGAATCTTGATGGGCGGTATCATTGTCGAACTCGGAGATAACAATACAGGAAGAAAACTGATTTTGGATACGGGGGTCTTCATCAGTGGAATGAATTAGACTATTGAAACTTTCGAAGACTTCTGTTTATTTAGTGATTTTAATGAATGGAGGAAACATGTACGTGCAAGAGGATTTACACAAGTCGACATGAATTTCATTCTACAGGCACACCACAATTGTTTTAAACAATTAAAAAGATGAACCCCCGTGTTTGTTATTATATTTTGCATTAATAACACGTATTATATACTTCTGTAACTCTCTTTCAGTTTTTTTGTCTTCTCTTTTCAAAGATACCGACTTCAGTGTAGGCATCGACACAGTAATGCTGACCTCAACGTTAGTGTTAGTCAGATGGAATGTTGGGATTACTATAACATACACACTTTGCAGTTATTTAGAATATTACTAGCACACCTGGTGAATCATGGAACCACCTTCGTCATGAAGTCTGCTGACACGTTCAAAGTTGGTCTTATATACAACTGGAAAAATCACAATTATAGTGTACTTATCTGTAACTTTGAAATTTTATAGACTTCCGAACACATTATGAAACATTCACTGACAGTTATTGTTCATTCTGAATCTCTTATGTTTCGCTTCAGCACCTACGCTAAAATGCTACTCACCACCTTCCACTATTGGGTGGGGATAAACGCTACCTCATTTTAAATTTACCTCGCTTCTGGTTTTCTCATCTTTCATTAGCTAGAACAGTGGAGGTCAATTCGGATTTTTCATTTGTCTCAGGTAGGCGCTGTTGTGTGTGTTTTTGTATGGTTGTGTTATGCGTGGTTTGCAAACAACTGTGATGAATATAAATGTAACATTCGACTTTTCTAACGTTGTTTCACTGTTTTTTATACAGATACAATACTCTTTTCGATGTACACTCTCTTGGGTCTGGTTATACCCAAGCTTACCAGAATGCTGAATTAAATCTCAATAATCCTGAAATAATTCTAGCATCCTATCTTCAGTAAATTCTGAATCTGTTCTGAAATGGATTCTTTAATGGCACAGACTGGAACTCAGTGCTGGTTTTCAGCATGACTGGAACTAATTCAGCGCCGTGTTCTTTTTGTAGGCATTTTCAGGAGTAGGTCAGAACCTACTGGGTTAGCTTATCAGCTTTATTTCAGCCCTCTCAGCCCATATTCAGCACTGACTAGCATTACTATGTAACAACAGAAGACAAGGGCCAGGAAACATCCTTTATTAAGGAAATCAACACATATTTATAGATTTTCATGTACATATTATAGATTATTGTAAGCAAAAAAAAACAGTTTTCTGATTGGTTGTTTCTCACAGAAAGTAAAATTTGCATCTCTTTGTGGCTGTTTCTTGAATGTCAGATCATCTATATGTTAAATGTATCCACCTACGCAAAGTCTTTCTCCTCATTTTTCTCACGACCAATATCGGGGACATAAACATTGAAGGAAATTACTGTTCACCAATTTTGACTAACAGCCAGCTCTCATCACAACTATAGAGAGAAAAGACTGCTACTAATTATCATCACCTGTGTCCTACGCCGGTGCAATTGATTTAGTTTGCAGAAAGAAATCAGTTTTTATAATTGAGGGAAATTTCTATTTAGAAGTTGCAGTACAATATCACTGAAAATCCATCAAGTGAGATCCACTGGTAGTATCCTGTGAATAAGCAAAATAAAAGATTAGTTGATGAAAAATTGTGCTCATCACATTCTCAGCATTTACATTTAGGAAAGTTTGCATACATAACTGCCACTGTTATATGCTCTGGTATCTTTTCCATTTGCCTAGAAATAAAAACTCAATGTTGTGATTACTACATGTTGACTTAACGTTGACTTATAAAACGAAGCGGGCGTTTCACAATATTACCTGAATGCCTTTCTTCTGGGTACGCCTTTGGACACGATTTTTCAAATTATGAAAGTACAATTTCGTGTCCTTATCCATTATGTCACCAAACTCTCTCTCGATGTCATCAGTTGGTCGGAGAACTGCGCCATAATTACAGCTACAGAAATAAGTACTTCAATAATGAACCTTACATCTCATTATTTCATGAAAGACATAAGGCACAATGCTGGACTTCGTCAAACTCCCTTGGAATGGAAACTTTAAACCCACTTCAGGTTTTAGAACATTGTGCATCATGACATTAAGTGATAACTTCGGATCACTCTAAAGGCAGGCAACCATTTTAGCAGTCTACAAGAAATGATAATTAAATATGTCAACTCACAAATAACCCCCTGTACTTGTCGTCTCTTAAAGATGCTTCCAGCATCTCTATGTGGTCTTCATTCTTGATTGGAAATTCCAGTGTGAAGTCATCGTTTGCTGGAAGGTTGGTTAGTAGTTGAGATTTGTTGTTAATTGTAACAATGTTAAGAATTTTGGTACACAAATTGATAAGTTCCGTTGCAGCATGATGCAATGAATTCATCGCATGATTTCTTCTATGTGTTATGGAAGATGTCACTCATCACGGATGAAAATACAAATGTCTAACCTCCTCAGAATATAAACCTAACTTATGCCTATGGTCTTATTCTCTTTCAATTACCTGATTCTCATAGATTAACTTCTGTGACAACAGCCTTTGCCCGTAGTCAATTTACAACCTGAAAATCTAAAGAGAAATTCGCAAACAACAAAGCTTTAGGGCTCGTTAACGAAAACAATAGTCATTTCTTTGCATAATTTCCTAAAATGCACGCCTTTCTTCGTAGTCATTCCTCTGGGATATCAACACACTGTTACGCATTAATACGAGCACCAGACAAAAATATCGCTTTTTTCGGCTACAGAAGCCTAAAACTACTTAATTATACACCTATGTGGGCATGAACACAATGACCTATAAAATTCGCGAAAATACGTCGCTATAGCCTTTATCCTCACGTAATCCAATATCCAATATATCCAGTATCGTTTTTACGAGCTTTTTTGATTTCTTTGTGCTCTCCTCTTGATTGTGCGGTATAGGTTCCTGATCTTCGGTAAATTTCTGCGTAGATCATCCCGCCACTCGACTGTCGTAGCTTTGATTGACTTCGAAAGGAGCAGTGCTGTGATTAACTATATGCGGTGGCAGCCTGTACTCGGCCGTGGGTCATTTGATCAGCTGATGTCTACAGGCTTTATTTATTGGAAAAAAACTCAAAATTAGGTAGTTTTTCGTTGTTTTACACACTTTTATGCTTGTATTGCAGCTAAAAGTCTATGGAATAAAGCGTTTTCAGCATAAACAGCAAATGATGGTGTCCTTATCCGGCCGTAATTTACGGCCAGTTTACAAATTGTTGAAGTACGTACTTGTCCGTCCAGAAAATGTCGAATTACTTGAAGACACACGTTACAACGACTCTTAGTCAAGTCTTTTGCAGTTCAGAGGATTAGACATAGACATGATAAGGTGAGCCAGTTAGTTTTGTTAGTCATTTTCACTTCCTTCGTTGTGCACCTCCTGGGTGATGATGTCAAATGTCCTCCACATGTACATATTTAAAGAAAATCTACAGAAATATTTGAAAATTAATTTCACGTGTTATTTACTTCTTATATTGCATAGATATGAATTTTACAGGCTTGTAAAATATTGAATGACGTAAGTACACACAACTTAACGCATCATCTA